CGCGCGCCCTGCGCGCGGGAGGGCGGGGCCGGCGCGTTGCCATGGTGCCGGCGGGCCGCGTGAATGGGGCATTGTTTGCCGCGGCGCCTCCGACGGGCTGTCCTGGACCCACCGGACCCACCGGGCCAGATAGAGACGGGAGAGATGGGGAAATGGGAGAGAGACAGGGAGACTGGGAGCGAGATGGCAAGAGACGAAGAGATAGGGAGAGATAGAGAACAGGGAAGAAATCCATGTAAGAAGAGATGGGAAGAGACAGGGAGACTGGGAGAGAGAGAGACACACAAGGAGTTGGAGAGAGATAGGGAGACAGGGAGATGGGGTAAGATAGAGAGACAGGGATGGGAAGAGATAAAGAGATAGGGATTTGGGGAGAGATAGGGAGATAGGGAGAGGAGAGATGGGCAGAGAGAGACAGGGAGATAGGAGAAATGGACAGAGACTGGGAGACATAGATGGGGAGAGCGAGAGAGACGGAGGCTGGGAGAGGAGGGAGGGAACAGTGAGGACCCCTTTAGAAGGGGGGCACATGGCCAGGGAGAGATGGAGGGGGAGAAGTGGCACACAGAAGGGAAGATAGGCAGACAGGACAGGCTGACCCAGCAAGCCAGACGGGAGACAGTTTGGAGGTGGAGTGCCCGGAGAGGCCCTGGAGATGGAGAAGAGAGCATGAGACGTGGGGAGAGGCAGCGTCCCAAGGTGGGCAAAACCACCCCAGCAGGGCTCACAGAGCCCCTCTGTGCCCACCGAAGTCAGAGTTCCCCCGAGAGGCTGCAAGAAACCCAGCCACAGAAAGACACGGGGCAGGGAGGGGTCAGATATGCCCAGATGTGGGGGACAAGAGGGAGAGAAACTTGAGCCCCAGCTGTCTGCTCTGAGCCCCCGGCCCCACTCCTGGCCCCACGCCCAGCCTCCTCAACCTGCCTCTGGGCCACTGGCCTACCCTGGTTTGATACATATGATGTCCTCTGTGTGTCTATCCACCCCCACCGACAACACATCATCCCCGCAGGGAGCCAGCCTTCAGGGGACACTGCCCAGACACCCTCAGGACACACCCAAGGGGAGACTCATATCTTGGAGGACACAGCGACACCTTGCTCACATGACACACTTATGCCTGTGGGTGTACTCATGACACCCGGGGACTCTCAGTCGTGGACACGGACACGTCAGTCATGTCACGAGGATGCACGCAGGACCGCCTCTCGGTCCACATCAGAGTCACACCTCACAGGTAGAGCGAGACACAGCCTGAGGGGTGTAATTGCTTCCTGAGCCTTCCCGGACCTTGTCAAACACGAGGTCACAGACCTGGCTGTGCCCTGTCACGGAGTTCACAGCTGTCCGAGAACAGCGTCATATGTGAGATCCAAAAACACCTGGTCCGCTGTTACTCCTGGATAAAGGTTCCACTGACACCCTCGCAGACACACAAGGACTTTGCTTCTGGCCCCTGACCAGGCCCCCCGGGTGTCCATGAGCAGGGATGCGGGGAGCCAACCCCAATCACCTGTGAAGCTAGGAGTCAGCAGAGAGCTAAGCCCCACTCCCAAACTGCACAAGGAACTCCATCAGGTCAAGCCAGGGCAGTCTCCAACTCCCCCGTGCCTGGGTCAGCTCGGCCCATACCTGGATCAAGGGTGGCCCCTGGTGGCCATGACTGGTCTCTGCATCCATCTATGCTAGATGGATGGGTTGGCTCTGGCCCACAGCTGAGTGTCTTCTAGATCCAGGATCCAGAAGCCTGACCGAGAATGGAGAATCTGAAACCCACCTCCAATAACCTAGACTCTAGACCCTCAAAGCCCCAATTCAAAAACCCAACTCCCCTAGCTCAGAATATAAAACTCTGGGTCTAAAGATGGTGCTTCCAACCCCCACCAAATTCACAAGCGCCACGAGAAAGTGAATGAGGAGCCACTACATAAAATAGAGGAGTCACTATAAATCAGTGCACTCTAAAGGTACAGGATCCAGATCCCCAAAGCCCAGATGCCTGAATCCGGATCACAGGCCCCCACAATCTAGAATCCAAACATCGGTAGAAGCGAATCCAGAATCTAGAACTCAGATTCAAGAACCCACCTCCAGTGGGGTGGGGGTGGGGAAACTCGGGCCTAGAAATGCGAATCTAAGACTCTAGGACCCAGTTCCCCAAACCCCAGTCCCACACGTCTGAGTCCTCCAGACTAGGCTCTGGGTGGGTGGGGGCAGGGGCAAAGCCAAGGGGCTGAAGAGGAGTCCCAAGAGCCCTCCCCCAGCTGTGTGCCCCTGTGTGTTCACACAGACACACGTGCACAGGCGTGCATGCATGTAGGCCCCCCTATCAACAAGAGGAAGTCCAACAAAATCCTGCACAGACTCACCCCAGACATCCAGCCTGTGACCGTCAGAAGTAACAATATCACATGGGCTTGCAGGCACTGGTGGCCATGTACAACCACACACACACACACACACACACACACACACACACACACACACA